CGTACTACGTACTACCGTACGTAACCGTACGTACGTACGTACGTACGTACGTACGTACGTACGTACGTACGTACGTACGTACGTACGTACGTACGTACGTACGTACTAACGTAACTAACGTAACGTAACTACTAACGTAACTACTACTACTCTCTCTCTCTCTCTCTCTCTCTCTCTCTCTCTCTCTCTCTCTCTCTCTCTCTCTCTCTCTCTCTAAAAAAATCTCCTTTCACGGTTTCACCTTCTAAAACTTATGAACCTTCTAAAATCGCTTTCTTTCATTTAGCATTTTGAAGATCCCCTTGCAGTCTTGAACCAGCCTTTCCCTCCTATTTTTGAGCAGCCTCAAAACACAAAAATTAGCTATTCAGAATGTGCTATTTTTTTCTCAAACGTGCAGAGCTGCAACATGTTTGTTTCATACAAGATTCAATTAGGCGACCCTCGCCATGTTTTTTCTCTGCGCCATTTTCCTTGAGTCAGCCGTCTCCCCACCTTCATCGCCAACTCTCTCTCTCCAAGCTGGGAAAAAAAAAAAAATCTTTTTCTTCCAATTCAAAACCCACAAAGAATCATTGAAAGAGAGATATGGAGAAACACCCATTAATAACCTACTTTATCGAAACTGATGCTATTTTTTGGCCTCCAACTTGACTACTTTCTCTCTCCTCCCTCTCTTATCAGCTGCTCTCTTCTTTGCCATGTGTGCCCCACACATTTTCTTAGTCAAGTGCCCCTTACTCTCTTCTCCCTCCTCTCTCTCAACCATGTGTCTCATAGCCTTTCTAGCTTCACCATGTGGCCTCCTCTCTCTCCGTTCCCCTCACCCAAATGCCCTATTCCTTCCTACCTTCCAACGTGGCCTCTTTCGAAACCCCCATCCCTCAAACTCTCTCCCCTGGTCCTATAAGGCTTTTGCCTTAGGCATGCAGAAACAGACTTGCCCGAGTAACTCAGCTCGGGCCAGGGCTGAGTCTGTGGCCCATGCCAAGGCCTCGTACACTGCTATAGAGTACGGAGAGCCTCAAAAATCCTATAAAAACAAGTGTTTTGAAGTCAGAAAACCTTCCGATTGATCATATCGACCTCGATATTTATTGATATAAAGAAAAAAGAGAATTTCAAGTCCTAAACATAGTACATCTTGTAACAAGTAATCCAGACCGTCAATTTTCAAGATTTTCAAGTGTTTATAGATCCGCACCATTTCGAAAAATTTTAAATTTTATGATTAGGTTTGAACATGGATTTTCAGGCCATCGTAAGGTTTCTTACACCGGAACTACTTATTCCAGTGAAATGTAGCGGGTGCACGTTACTTGTACATGAAAGGTGGACTATGTGACTAGGCAAGTCAACCGATTAAAATTTTTCAATCTTTTCTTTTGTATTTTTTAATAAAAGTTGACAATAGTATTAATATGATAAAATAATTTACATTTGGTTTAGACCCAAAGACGGCAGTCCCACATATTAAGTGCTCAGACAACATTGTAAAGAAAGTAAGGCGAGAGGGGAGAGAAGTAATACAAGAGGGAGATATACACCAAAAGAGGTTTGAGCAGTGCCCAGCGGGAGCCCAATACGTACCAAACCCTAGCACAGTAGCATTGGCAGAGAGCCAAATTTCATAAGACTTGAAGCATATAATGCGAAGGCAGGCCCAGTCAAAAGGACCGCAGCAAAGTCCTTAAGAGAAACGTGTGTAGCCAGCAGATTGATGATGCGAATTCTGCGGCTGTCAAGCTAACTGTTTTCCTTCAAGCAGTGCACTGGGCAAAAAATGCCTTGCTGCGCGAAGCAGAGAATGCTCGAGATACAGAGCGAGAGAAGTTGTGGGCAAGAGGAAGAAGGGGTAAAAAGGGAAGGAAACAGAGGTAAAAAAAAAGGGTAGGTGAGGTAGAAGAGGTGAGATATGCAAGAAAAGAAAGAAACCGAGGTCATAGGGAGGATTGAGAAAGAAGACCTTAAGTAGTGGCGAGAAACAGTCCAGCGAGACCACCTTACCAAAATTTACCTCCTCGCTGATTGGGGTCTATCCCTTTATTTTTCCAACTTTTCTTTTATCCCTTGTTTTCGTCTTTTTTTTTCTCCCCCTTTCCTTCCTCTTTTTCCATGCTCTCTTTGTGGGCCAGAGGGAGAAGGGGTAAAGAGGGAAGCAGAGGTAAAAAAGTGGGGTAGGTGAGGTAGAAGAGATGAGATATGCGAGAAAAGAGAGAAACCGAGGTTAAATGGAGGATAGAGAAAGAAGACCTTAAGCAGCGGCGAGAGACGATCCAGTAAGACCAACTCACCAGATTTACCCCCTAGCTGATTGGGGTCTATCCCCTTATTTTTTCTTTTTACCCCTTTCTTTCCTTCCACCCCCCCCTCCCCCCCTTTCCTTTCTCTCCTTTTATCTTTTTTTTTTGTATTGCCACCCGAATCATTCACAAGTGTCCAAATACAATATATGAAACAAATAAAATACCAAGGACTCTCACTTGTTTGCCATTAAAACAAAATTACATTCACAACATAGATCTGAAAATTACATAAAAGATGCAATTAAATAAAAAAGAACATGAAATAGGAAATTACTGTATACCTTGCCTTAGGTTACCCCCAAGGATTTAGCACACCCCACGTCAAGTCTCCCCCACCAATGGCGCACGGGATCTAGGTTCAAGAACTTGTCTCACAACTTGGGAAGCCTAGGCAAAACCAGTAGAGAGCATGATATGGGATAACCTAGACCAAAGCTCAACACATGAGCATAAGGACAAGATAGAAGGCTAGGGTGTTGTGGCTTGGGCGTGCCACCTTTTAGGGTTTCTTATGCTTCCTATACCCTAATTTAGAGAGAGAATAGAGAGAGATTAGAGAGGGGTGTGCCATCCCTTTGGCTCAAAGAGAAAGAGAGATTGAGATATCAAGTGTGTAGAGAATGAGGCCCCCATAGCTAGTTTATATAGAATAAAAACTAGGGTTTCTAGGGTTAGGGTTTTGCCATCATTATGAGACTTAATCTTGCCCTTTGATCTTGGAGAGCTGTGGGGTGAAGAGATCTCATCCATTCATTACTTAGATCAGCCATCATAATTAAAAGAATGAGGTGCAACCCTTATCCCTCAGTTTCCATAACTCTGTTCCCATCAAATATTATGTAGATAAAGTACTAAACCAATATCAATTAATTTTTACACTTTTCCTTTTTAAAATCAATTAAAATCTCTACACCACACTTTCCTAAAATTCTCAAGTCGACATGTGGCTTAATTAGAATAAACCAATTTAGAAAAGAATAAGAGGAGGTGGAACACCCCGCCCCATAGGTAGCCATGTCGGCCCCACATCCCAGTAATTGGTTGGCCCAATAAAATCGAATGGGCCCCCAATATATTAAAATTGATTTCAGATAATCAAGTAAATTAATTTTCAGACAATCAATGAAATTCAGTGGTCACAATTCTCTTAGACTTTCTCCCTCTACCTGCAGCCCCTTGCCTTCTTTTCTCTATTTCTCTGCATTGTAGATTACTCGACGTGTGGGGATGCCTACCCTGGTATATTAGAACTCTCTCCCCTTGAGCTTCTGCTCTTTTCTCACTCTCTGCTTCTGTACTTCGAGTACCCAACAGGAGGGTAGCCACCTTCTAATTCTACAAGACTTTCGACCTGCCACACCATCGACCACAGCAGAAGACTGGCGACCAAGGCCCTCAAAAGTTTGGCCTCCCGGGTTACTTTTTCTTGCATCGATATCTCTCTCTGAATGCTTTTGACCCTTCGTAGCCGCTCCTCAGATACTGAAAGCCAGTCCGAGCAACTTACTCCACCAGAGTATTTGGAGAACTTCGTTGGCAGTTTTATCTCTTTGGAATATGCTTCTCTCTCCTTCAAGTTTGTACTCTTTTCTTTTTAGTTTTATCTGGAATACTTAGTACTCTCTTCTCTTATGGTTTTACTCTCACTCTCCCCCCAAGCATCTTTGCTCTTCCTATTTCTTTTTTACTATATACTGAGCACCCGAAATGAGTGTTGCCATAGGTAGCTTACTCTTTATGTAAAAAAAATTTTTAAATACAATTTAACGTTTTCAAAAAAAAAATCGATAATCCAGTAAATGTTATATTGTTATTAAATAATTTATTTTTCTTTCTAATTTAAATAAGTCCAAAATTTGCTTTTTCTCTATTTAAATCATATTTCAATAAAATAAAATACCAATAGAGGTCCAAAAAATTATTTTTTAAAATCCAAAAATAATTAAACTATACTAAAACATATTCAAAGAGATTTAATGAGAATAGGATCGATAGAGTTATGATTACAACAAATACACTTAGGACTCCATCCTTTCTAAAAACCGTTTCTCACTACACCTTCTCAAATTGGCCCAATAGTTCCCATGACCTACATCCCTTCGCAGAGGTTCAGGATTGGACTATCAAAGTCAGCCACTAAGTGAAGGCAAAACAATCTTAGTCTATGGATTACAGGTTCCTACCTGAGGACAAGTCCAGGCCCCATGTCAACACTATGCTTTATGGATCCTTCCAACACAATTTAGTG